AAGATTTATTTATTTATTTGAAAGGCAGAGTTATAAAGAGGCAGAGAAAGAGAGAGGTATTCCATCCACTGGTTCATTCCCCAAATGGCTGCAACAGCTGGAGCTGTACCAATCTGAAGCCAGGAGCCTGGAGCTTCTTCCAGTCTCCCACATGGGTGCAGGGGCCCAAGGACTTGGGCCATCTTCTGCTCCTTTCCCAGGCCATAGTAGAGAGCTATATTGGAAGTGGAGCAGCCGGCACTTGAACCAGCACCCATATGGGATGCTGGCACTACAGGTGGCAGCTTTACCTGCTTTGCCACAGTGCCAACCCCAACAATTGCTTTTTCTTCAAAAATTTGGGTAATCATGTATTTTTCCTCTGTAGTATGGTATAGGAAGAGTCTTCAAGAATATACGTTACGAAAAAAAATGCATGAATTTCAGAATTTTTTGTACCAAAATGAATTAAGATATTATTGAAAATTAATTAATTAAAATATCTTTTTATTTTCCATGGACCTTAAGACTGTCACATTACTTTGCTTTTCTTATGTTGAACCACCCTTCCATTCTGGGATAAATCCTGCTTGGTCACGGTATATCATCTTTTCAACAAGCTGTTAGGTTCGGTTTGCTAGTATTTTGCTGAGAATTTTTGCATCTTTATTCATAAGCGATCTTAGTCTGTTGTTCTATTCTTTGGTGTCTTTGTGGTATTGGAGTAATACTGGAAGGAATCAGGACTCTCTATTTTGGAAGAGTTTAAGAAGGATTAGTGCTAATTCTTCTTTAAATGTTTGTTAGAACTCACTGTAATAATGCCATCTGGTGCTATACTTTTTGATTTGGGTAAGGATTTTGATACTAATTCAGCCTTGTTGTAGGTGTGAGAAAGTTTTCTATTTCTTACTGAGATAGTTTTTATAATATATATGTTTGTAGGAATTTGATCATTTCGCCTATACTATCTAATTTGTTGGATATATTCTCTTTTCTAAAAAGAGATTTATTTGTTTATTTGAAAGGCAGAGAGTTACAAAGAAGCAGAAGCACAGAGAGAGATCTATCTATCTATCTGTCTATCTTCTGGTTCACTCCCGCAAATGGCCATAACAGCTGGAGCTGAGCTGATCTGAAACCAGGAGCATGGAGGTTCTTTTGGGTCTCCCACGTGGGTGCAGGGCCCAAGGACTTGGCCGTCTTCCACTGCTTTCCCAGGCCACAGCAGAGAGCTGGATCGGAAGTGGAGCAGCTGGGTCTCATATGATGCCAGCGCTGCTTTATCTGCTATGCCACAGAGCCAGCCCCTAGATATATTCTCTTATAATCCTTTTTATTTCTGAGATCAGTAATAATGTCTCCCATCTTCATTTTTGCTTTTCTTTCTTTTTTGTTCTAACTAAATGTTTGCCAATTTTGCTAATCTTTTCAAAGAATCAACTTTTGATTTTGGTGATTCTGTTCTCTGTTTCAGTTCTCTGCACTCTAACTTATTTATCTATTTTTCTGACATCTGCCAGCTTTAGTTTTGTAATTCTTCTTTCTAGTTTTTAAGAAATTTGGGTTATTGGTTGAAAATTCTTTTTTAATGCAGACTTAGTAAGCTGTTGATGCCCCCTGAGCACTGCTTTCCGTGTGCCACATAAGTTTTGGTGTGTTGTGTTTGGTTTTCATTCCTCTCATGGTACTAATTTCCCTAGTGGTTTCTTCTTTGACCTTTTGGTTGTTTAGAAGTATGTTGTTTAATTTCCACATACTTGTTAATTTTCATTTTCCTTCTGTTATTGATTGCTTTCTGTTATGGCTAGAGAAAATAGTTTGTATGATTTCAGTCTTTTAAAATTTATTTGATTTGTTTTGTAGCCTTGAATATGGTCTAACCTGGAGAATGTGTCACGCACACTTGAGAAAAATGTGTATGCTGTTATTGAGTAGAGTGTTCTTCATATGTCTGTTAGGTGTCGTTGGCCTGTATGTCATTCAGGCGTACTATATCCTTATTAATCTTCTGTCCAAATGCTATCTGTTACTTGAAGTGGGATATTGGAATTTATTTCCCTCTTCCATTCTGTCAATGTGTGCTTCATGTATTTTGGGGCTCTGTTGTTCGGTGCATATATAACTAGTATATCTTCCTTTTGAATTGATCTTTTTGTCAATATAGATTGACCTTCCTTGTTTCTTGAAACAATTTTTGACTTCAAGTTAGTTTTGTCTAATGGCACGGTAGCCATTCCTAAACCCTGTTAGCTACTGAGTCCATGAAATAGCCCTTCCCATCCTTTACCCACCAGCCTCTGTGTGTCTTTCGCCCTATAATGAGTATCCAGCAGATAGCTTATAACTGGCTTACAGACTCTAATCTGCTGACACTTAGCATGATCACTGGGAGGAAGGACTTGTGCCATTTTACTTGCTTTCCACGTATCTTTCACCTTTTTTGTTCTTTAACTCCTGAAATACTGTCGTCTTTGGTATTTTTTTTTTCCTGATGTACCATTTTCATGCCCTCTAATGTCCTCTTCAGTGTATGTTTTAAATATTTTCATAATGGTTCCCATGGAGAGTATAGTTAACATTCATAAAATTTTAGCAATCTAGTTTGAACTGGCCCTAGCTTAGTTTCATTAATATCCCAAAATTCTGTTGCTCTAGCTGTGATTCCCTCCCTCATGCTGTTATTGTCACAAATTAAAATCTGTATGCATTGTGTGCTCACTAATATAGATTTATAATCATTGTGTTATGCATTTGTTTTTTAATCACTTAGAAAACAAAATGAGACGTTACAAATCAAAAATACTGTGGTACTAGCGTAATGTTTACCTGTGTAGCAGCTTTACTGGAGTCCTTACTTCTTCAGGTAGCTTGCAGCTACTCCTGTCTTCGGTTCCTTCATTCCTGCTTGAAGACTCCTTTAGAGCTTCTTTCTGGGCAGGTGTATCCGTGAACATCTTCGATGCTTTCCGGGAGCGTCTTCTGTTCTCCTTCACTTTGAGGAATAATTTTGCAGGATGTGGAGTCCTTGGTTGATGGAAGATTTTCCTCTCAGTGCTTTGAATTGGTCGTTCTGCTGCCTTCTGGCCGTGGCTGAGCTGCGTGCTTCTGGCTCAGGGTCCCTCACAAGTTTGCAGTGAGCTCGTTAGCCAGGGCTGCAGTCTGTCCTGGCGGGGGCTGGATAATCATCGCTAAGCCCAGCCACGTGGGCAGGCCTGGCTTCTCTGGCTGTTGGCAGGAGGTTCCGTTCCTCACCACTTGGGCCTCTTGATGGTGCTGCTCGCAGCCTGGCAGCTGGCTTCGCCCGGAGCAGGAGATCTGGGAGAGAAAGACACCCTCCCTAATGTTTTGATTTTTTTTTTATACTTCTTGATATTCCTTATCTAGCAGTTGTATGACTGTACTCTTGTGTGAGAGAGAAATTTGAACTTAGTGGAGAGGAATTGATTGACCCTTCCCCAGAGGCCTCTGAGCGCCTCGTTCAACCTTGGCTTGGGAGTAAGAGACTCCCAGGAACTTCACGTAGCTTTGCAATGGAGCGGCACCCGTAGAGTGCACGTCTCCTCTCCCTCCTGCCTCGTACTTCTGGCCTGCACATTCAAAGAACTGTGGTCATCTAAGGGCCTCAGCTACATCCCTATAGACAACTTTCCCAGTGGTGGTTTGTTGTATAGATGGGATGTGTACCTTTTGGTTAAAAACTCAGGGAGGGAGCGAAAAGAAGGGAGAACTCCAGTGATTCTCCTGGTAGGTCCTGCTTCTTGCTCAGAAGATCCGTCAGCTCTCCACTTGGTCCCTGTTCTGCTCAAGGCACAATCCTGGACACAAAGGGCACCCAAACAAGGGGTGCATAATCCAGTCCCCACTGCCATGCAGCTTGTGGCGTAGTGGTGGCAACGTGACAGCACACCAGCTAGAAAGTAGAACTCAGGGCAGCATTTGTGGTCCAGAGCAGTGGTGGCTACTGCCTCAAAAAGACAGGTGCTAACACTTTCGTAACGTAGTAACTTGAGAAACACAGAGAAGATCTGGAAGTGGCCAGGAAAGAAGGTGGAAGATCTTTGTGATTTGGTTATTTTTTCGTCTCACAGTAGGATGATTTTTGAGAACCTGTAGTGTCCTGTGCGTGGGACTGAGGTCTTTCACTTGACTCCTGCCCATCAACAATCAGATAATTTCATCCTCACTTATTCAATTATATGATGTCACCATAGGAAAAGACCATTGTGGCCACATTCTCTTCTCAGTTTTGAAAAAGTAACTTAGGCTTGTATTTACAGCTTTATATCCACTGTTGTAAAATCATTTCAGTATTTACAGCGGACTTTATAAGCTGAATTAGCCATCAGACCACGTTGAGAACAGTGATGCAAGCCCGGCTGACGAACTTGTGAGCTACCATTTGTGTTGGAAGCTACTACTGCAACTAGTGTTTCTGCTGTTTGTGTGGATGCTTCTGGAAGAAGAGGGGTGGGAATGGCTTTCCTTGGCAACTGCATCTCTCCTCAGATGGGTCATACGGGCAGGTTGTAAATGTCCCAGGGACAGGTAGTTCTGCCATCTCCCTTAGACTCTGAACTTGTACCGAAACAGAAGAGCCTGTGTGTAAGAAGAGTTCAGCATCCTTCAGATCTTACCCGTGCAGTAAGCTGGGGTGGCCCACGTGTAATGAGTGGGTTTGCTCCTGGGGAAACTACCCCCATGTCCCAAAATACATTGAAATCAGAGCAGCCTCTGCTTCCTTCTTCTACGTAGAAATTAACCACATTTTTCTTTCATAGAGCTTAGACTGTAGTACATATCTGCTCCAGTTATGCAATGTGCTGACTTAAACTGGGGCTTCCCATTTTGCCCCAGCCCACCCCATGCAGCATGAAGTTCGTAACATGAACCCCTCTCTTCATGTGTCCCACACTGAGTATGTGCTCCTCTCACTCCTCGTGGCTGTAGTTGAACTGCTCTGTGTGTTCATGCTTCTAGTAAAATGAATTCTGAATTCCCTTCTGATCTTCTTCTCCTAGACAGTTAAATCCCACACAGAAACGGATGAGAAGCAAACAGAGAGCCGTACCATCACCCCACCTGCTGCACCCAAACCAAAACGGGAAGAGAACCCTCAGGTACGTTCCTCTCTGCAGAGGCATGGCGCAGCCTGCGGCGCGTGGTTTTTCTCACACGCCAGAGCAGACGTCTGCCAGGGAGTGGGCTGATGTGCCTTATCTCGTGCTTCCCGGTTAGTCAGCAACGGTGTTGGCAAATCAGGTCGGCCGAGGGTAGGTTTCCTAGAATGTGGTCCTCAGGGTGTGTGCACGCCCCGGCACGTAGGCATTTTGGGTGTCTGAAAGGAAAGCTTTAAAGCCATGTTGTTCATACACCTGCTACAGATTTGAAGTGCATCTAACGTAGTTCTCCCGGCTGTCCTGTCTCGTTCCTCATGATGAGTATGCTGCCTCGGCTGACGTTTACAGATGTCCAGTTTACCCAGCTAATAGCTGTTGATATTATTGATTACACTTGTTAAATGTGCATTTTTGTTATTACCAGTTTATTGTATTAGAATTCCAAATCCCAAATGAATTAGTAGTTCAAAAGGAGTTACTGAAACCTAAAAGTAGGGATAAGGGCTAGGCATTGTGGTGCCATGGTGAAGCTACCACTCAGGACACCCACGTCCCGTATTAGAGTGCCTGAAATAGAGTCCCGCCTCCACTTCCAACCCGGCTTCCTGCTGAAGGTACTGGGAAGCAGCAGGTGACGGCTGAGTTCCTGGTATGGGCTTCAGCCCGACAGCCCAGCTGTTGCAGGCATCTGGGGAGTATGAGCTAGTGGATGGAAGACATTTTTAAATCATTCTCTCTCTCTTTCCCCTAGCCCCGGTTTTCTGCCTTTCAAATAAATAAAAATGAATTTAAAAAAAAAAAACTTTTTAAAAGTAAGAATGAGGGGCCGACGTTAGGCAGGCAGTTACGATGCTGGTGAGGACACACGTGACTCGTATTGGAGGACCTGGGTGTGACCTGCACTCCAGCACCTGACTCCAGCTTTCAGTTAGCACAGACCCTGAGGGGCAGTAGTGATGACTCAAATAACTGGGTTCCTGGCACCCATGGGAGAGACCTGGGTTGAGTTCCCAGTTCCTGGCTTTGGCCTGGCCCTGCTCTAGCCATTGTGGGCATTTGGGGAGTGAACCAACACTCGAAAGCTCCTTGTCTGTCTCTATCTCTCTCTGCCTCTCATGTAAATAAGTAATTTTTTAAATGAAGGAATGAAAATAGTAACATCCATAGCACAGTTTATATAGAATCATAAATATAAATTGCAAATAAGACCCTCATGCAAATACAGAATACAGATCTGTCCTTGGACAAGAGCGTATTTTAGTTTGATGCTTTTGCACAGCGCCTGTAAAAGAAAGATGTGGACAGGTAACCTGATGATGACTGTCTGGTGGTTGGGTTTTATTGGCCCGGTAATCCATTTCCCTCTATTCTCAGTGCATTCTTGGGAATGAAACCTTGTCAAGTAGTGGCAGGAAGCCATCAAAGCTTTGTGTCATGTTTTTTAAAGCGGTGATTTATTAAGCCAGTCTGGGTTTTTCTAAAACAAGTATGGAATGTAATTCTTTCTGATATGAAATGAATTTTTACTTTTATCTTTAAAGAAGGGACCAAAACCTGAACCATGAAAAGAGGTGCTAGTCACACAACTTGCTGAGAAACTCATTAAACCATGCACAGAGGTGGTGACAAGCATCAGGCTTGGAGCAGGAAGAATAGAACAAACTATTGGCAGGATTTCTTTATCAAAGGAAACTGAAGGCTATCTTATGTCAATGACACAGTATGGGCAATCAGGGACCATCATGGATGGTGGCAGATAGGCCACCTTTGCATTGGCACAGTCACTACCTTTATAAAGAGACTAAATTAGCTCTTATGTGTATGGGTTTGGGTGTGTATGTATATGATACAAGTTCTTGACAACTTCTATCATTCCACAAGAGAGGGTTTTTGTTTTTGTTTCTGTTTTTTACGTAATATTTATGTTATGAGCTTGATCTAAACTGGTGAGTTGGATGTGAGGAGCCAGAAAAGGTGCTGGTACTGGGTGATCTGACTCTCTGGGTGCACGCTGCAGTGTTACTAGGGAGTAGTTGAGGGACAGCCTTGTGTGATCTGGTTATATTTTGAAGGAATGGTTAAAAGTAGCAATATAGTTCATTGGGAACCACAAAATGTATCCCCATTTCAGTGTGCAGCATAGAAAGTAGGCGGTGAGTCCAAGACTGCTTTTCTTTACCAGAGTATTCTGGCTGTCAAGGGGATAGGTGCCCACTTGAGTTTTTAAAACAAGGGCATCTCCATGTTCTCACTTGCGTGAGAGTCTTGAATAGGCCAAAGCAGCCTAATAGTTAATGTTGGGGACAAAGACCCAGCTGGGCCTAAAACTCTAGGGGAGTATGTCTCTCATCAACTGATGATGGTGTTTACTCATCAGAGAAAGAAACTGACAATGTATTATTTGGCATAATCAGAAACCACTATGGTGGCATGGTGGGTTAACCCACTGCCTGCCAATGGCAATTCTAGCTTTCCATGGGCACTAGCTGAGTCCCGGCTGCTCCATTTCTGATCCAGCTCCCTGCTAATGCACCTGGGAAAGCAGCAGAGTACAGTCCAAGTCCTTAGGCACCTGCACCCATGTGAGAGACCCAGAAGAAGCTCCTGGCTCCTGGCTGCGGCCTGGCCCAGCCCTAGCCATTGCGGCCTTTTAGAGAGTGAACCAGCAAATGGAAGCGCTCTCTCTCTCTGCCTCTCTTCTCTCTGTGTAACTCTGACTTTCAAATAAATAAATCTTTTTTTTATTTTTAACTTTTATTTAATGAATATAAATTTCCAAAGTACAGCTTATGGATTACAATGGCTTCTCCCCCATAACGTCCCTCCCACCCACAACCCTCCCCTTTCCCACTCCCTCTCCCGTTCCATTCACATCAAGATTCATTTTCGATTCTCTTTATATACAGAAGATCAGTTTAGCATACATTAAGTAAAGATTTCAATAGTTTATTTATTTATTTATCAAATAAATAGATCTTAAAAAAAAAGAGTGAAGTAGCAGATGGAAAACCTCTCTCTGTAATTCTACCTTTCAAATAAATAAAAATGTTTTGAAAGAAAAAAATCACTCCCAGACATTACATGAAAAATGACAATGAACTTTTCAGATCATATACGACCAAAGGGAAGAGCAGAAATCAGTCTCACTCTGGGTACAGTGTTCTAATCCACCCGCTTCTACTGGAGCCCTGAGAGTGGCCTTCAGAAAGAAATCACTCCGTGATTCTTAGTGTGTGTTTGATTGAAAAGTCAGTGGTAGGCCAGCGCCGCAGTGCAATAGGCTAATCCTCCACCTGCGGCGCCGGCACCCCGGGTTCTAGTCCCGGTCGGGGTGCCGGATTCTGTCCTGGTTGCTCCTCTTCCAGTCCAGCTCTCTGCTGTGGCCCGGGAGTGCAGTGGAGGATGGCCCACGTCTTTGGGCCCTGCACCCGCATGGGAGACCAGAAGCACCTGGCTCCTGGCTTCAGATCAGTGCAGCGTGCCGGCTGTACTGGCCATTTGGGAGGTGAACCAACGGAAAAAGGAAGACTTTTCTCTCTCTCTCTCTTCTCTCTCTCTCTCTGTCTAACTCTGCCTGTCAAAAAAAGAAAAGGAAAAAAAAAAAAAAGAAAAGAAAAGTGAGTGGTAAGCAGAACTGCCTGCTGACACTCCTTAACCTCATTTAGCCTCGAGTGAGCATTTCCCTGTGAACGGCAGTAAACAGCGTACGGCACTCTGACCTGGCTGTAGACCAGTGCAGTGCTTGGAATTTGGAGCATGTGGTATGGGAGACTCTTTAAAACCCTTGGCACATTTTTGGTGTGTAAATCCTCTAAGTCCTCTTCCCTTTAAGAGGTTTTCTCCTTTTGTGGAATGTGGGCAACAATCTTAAAAGGATTTTTCTGGGGGAAAAACAAAACAAAGCTCAGGTCACTGGCGATAGTGGCCTCATCCTTGAGGTGGGAGATGCAGGCCCCAGTCCTTCTCTTTGGCCTCCTGAGCCCAGAAGGCCACGGAGTGGCTCTGTAATCTGCTCTTGGCTCCTCTGACTCCAGCCTCCTCTGAGCCACCTGCCCACGGGGCTGGCTTTCCCTGGTGTCTGTTGGGAACTGCAGTTGGCTTTGTGAGAACCCCGACTGAAGCCTGTTCTTCTGTTTTTCCGACACAGAAACTTGCCTTCATGGTGTCTCTGGGGTTGGTAACACATGACCATCTAGAAGGTAAGAGAAGATATTCTTGGCATTACCTTCTTTCTGGCCCACCGTTCTATTCCTGAAAATGGTGTTTGATTGAATTCCTAGAACAGAAAAGTGGCACACAAATAGAGCATGATTCAGCCAGTGCGGACTTGATTTCCTTTAGAGAAGTTGCCTTCCCTCTGTCTGCCATCCAGGCCCTCCCCACCCTGCCATCATCAGCGTCACTGACCCGAGAAAGCCTCCCCACGTGCTGCCCCAAGGTGACTCTGTTCACTTTAGGAGGACGCTCCTCTGAGAAGCCTTTATCTGTCCTTCCAGATCACCAGCCTGTTAGGACAGTTACAGAGCCCCACCTGTCGTGGTTGTTTAATTCAAGAATGAACTTTGGTTATTTAGCCTAAGCCCATGGATAAACTTTGTCCGACCTATATACACAGCAACTAAAAATAAGTCAGGACAGTTGGTTCATAAGCGTTGACCACTTTTAATCTCTGAGTCACAGAGAGCCACCCTGTGGGACATGTGGTCTTGCTGTCCAGGAGGTGAAGTGGGTGGCCCCACCTGGGTGCTTCCAGCAGTGTGCTTGTCTCTGAAACAGCCCGCTGTTCCTGATGGGTTGTGGGAAGCCGACAGAGAAGAGAATGAGGTTAAGGTTTTTAGGTTCTCCAGATGTCTCTTTTAATTCAGACCTTTTCTTTTCCCAAGAAATCCAAAGTAAGAGGCAAGAACGGAAAAGAAGAACAACAGCAAACCCAGTGTACAGCGGAGCAGTCTTCGAGCCAGAGGTACTCCTGCCGCACACGGCCCTTCCTCTCCCTCTGCTCTTACTTAGGGCTTGGTTGAGGCCTGCAACCTGAAAACTCGCTGGAAGTGCAGCGCCCGACTGCGCTTGCGCAGCGCTGGGATGATGGCGGCATCTCTGGCTCGCCACACTGTCTGCTCTTTACCTCCCACCGCCTACGCCCAAGGTTTTCCATCTCCGTTTGAACAGCCGCAAGCCCATCTCATAGTTTCAGTTCACCCTGACTGAAACACAGCTGTCACTTACGCAGAGGCAGACCTCTCTGAGATCCGGGGACCTGCAGTAAGACCCTTAGCACTGAGACCTTGGGGTGCTACACGCTAGCTGTTGGGCATGTTCACAGGCGTGTGGTGCTGGGGCTTTAGCTGTGCCAGTGTAAGGACTGATCCTGTTCTTCAACCAGTCACCTTTGCTTCTTCACTCCTCATAGCGTAAGAAGAGTGCCGTCACGTACCTGAACAGCACAATGCATCCTGGGACCCGGAAGAGAGGTGAGTCCCCTCTGGTATCTTCCTTGCTGTTGCTTTCGCTTTCTGTGTTGCGTTTCTTCTCCCGCCCTCCTCCCATCGTCCTAGGGCTAAACTGCTCTATCCCTTGAGTGTAGGCTTACTGTTTGTTCTTTGAGAACTGGGCAGCAGGGAGGGAGGTGGGATGTCTTGTGAGAGTTCTGTATGCTGAATCAAAAGCTGACTCGGGAGGATGGCTTAATGCGGCAGCTCTGTCCTGAGCCTCGCAGGCTGGCCGTGAATAGCACAGTGGACAGAACACTGTGTAGAGGAAGCGTGTTAGCATCATTAAGCAGAACGCAGCACACTGCCGTTGCCAAGGAGTTCTTAATAGTGTCTCAGTCCTCCTGCTGCCCAGAGTGTGACTCTGAGTTCCTGTGCGTGGCAGACTTTCCAGGAGGAGAGAACGAGGGTGCTGAACCGGGCGCCTCTACCTAGGGAAGCAGAGGCCGCTGTCAAAATAGGCTCCCCAAAGCAGAAGTTGCTACAGAGCGCCTTTCCCCCACGGGCCGCCGCCTGCCCCTCAGGGCAGGAGGAATGGCGGCAGCAGCTCTCACTGTGCGGATCTAAATTGGTCTTCATAGCTGAGGGTTTGAGCACATAAACAAGGTAGTGAAATTGTTCCTTGATGTCAGTAATGCATCCCAAGGTCCCTCTCTCCACATGGTAATGTGTCCCTGAATTATAGTTCCAGGCTAGCGAGGTTGTGGCGCGAGTGGAGTCGCATACTAATGTTTGCACATGCATACTCGCTCTCAGATCAGAGCTGAGGTCACCCCGACCCTACCTGCTTTAGGCAGCACCACAGCTATGTCATCATCTTCCCTTCCCCACGAAAAGAGGCGTCAGCCCCCCAGGTGACCTGTTCTGAGGTTTGATCAGTCTTGTCCTCCAAGTAGCCTCAGATATTTACATGGGGAGCTCTAAGCGATTGCTTTATGTTGATTCCTGGGCCACAGTAAGCAGTGCTGTAGGTTATTTTTTGTTTTGTTTTTGGATTGGGGAGGTTTTTGTGGTTTTTTTTGGTGACCTCTGAGGCAGTCCTCAGAAAGGAGCCCCCCCCAGCCTGAGGCCACAATTAATTGGCCTGCTGGTGGGAGTGCTGCTAAGAGCATAAGGATCAGATGAGCAGAAAGACCTTGGTCTCTGTTGCCAAGGTCAGAGGATAAAAACCTCATTCACAGTGCGTGGATGTGCTCTCCCGTAGGTAAACAGAGAGCATTCATTTCCTGCTTCCCCTTCCAGCAGCAGACAGGCCTGTGTGGGAGACGTCGTCAGTTCAGCACAGGTAGTGTCTGTGCAGTGTCTCGCTGAGCCATGACTCCTGTGCGTAATCTGACTGCTGCCCAAGTTACAGTCTCACACGCCACTCAGCAGCACTTGCAGCGCTTGCGCGCCCCTCTGCCTCTTCTTTGCCCTTGCGGTGTGCTGGGCTGGCACGGAGGGTCGCCCCCAGCTCAGAAGCCCTGACCTGGCCCTTCAAACACAAGGTCCTCACTGCAGCGTGGTAAGGCAAGCATGGTCAGCCGAGACCTGCTGCACCCACAGGGCTCATTTTTAGATCCTTTGAGCTGAGAGCTGAAGTCATCTCTCTAGGTTAGAACCTTGGTTCTTAGACATGGAGTTCACCAGCGTCTGTGTGATGTGTCAGTGGAAAACAGCTCAGTTAACTGGGGAGGGTGTCTGGGCCAAAAGCTGTTAGAATCATTGCTCAGACAAGAGCGTCTGAGCACTGACAGCTGGAGGAGGCGCAGTCAGCCTGAATTTTGCCTCCTCACTTTCCTCTCTCACAAGCAGTGAAATGACCAAAATATGAAGAGCAGAGAAAGGAGAAACAGAAATCCTAACTAAATTGGTTTGAGAAAACTGAGAAAATCTGTATTTTGATAAGAACGACGATTGCAGGAAAACCACAGAGAACAGTAATGGAAAAGACAGGAAACAATGAAGTAACTTCTTTTGCTGGCTCCATGGGGCGTCGGCATCTCATTCTCGCTGTAGGAGTCTCGCACTTAATAGTCTGGGGACTTGCCCGTGATCCGTTCCACGGTGCGGTCTCTCGGTCTAAGCCAGCACCTTCTGTCTTCCTCCAAGGCTCTCTTAGCCTCCCTTTCGACATTCGTGTAGTTGTTTCTAATAACGTTTAAATCTTTGCTTCTCTTCCTTCCTTCGAGACTGTTGTATTAACCTTCTGTCTGCCCCCTCACTTCCTTTTCCATGCTAGCCAATGAGGAACACTGGCCGAAGGTATGTAAGATCATTTTCCCTTTCTCCCCTCCCCCTCTCCCCTTTTGTTCCCTTCTCTCGGTATATAGGTCGTCCTCCAAAATACAATGCAGTGCTGGGGTTTGGAGCCCTTACCCCAACATCCCCCCCATCCAGTCATCCTGACTCCCCTGAAAGTGAAAAGACAGAGACCACATTCACTTTCCCTGCACCTGTCCAGCCTGTGTCCCTGCCCAGCCCCACCTCCACAGACGTAAGTAACTTGGGAAAGCGTGTGCTCTTTCTGAGAGCTGGAATCGGGAATCCCGTTACCCTGTGTTGTGTCCTCACTAACCCTGGGCGGCAGTGAGCCCCGTAGGACGCTCTGCACGCCGTGGGAGGAGCTTTTTCCCGGGCCGTGGGCCCTCCTGGCAGGGAGACTCACACCAGCAGCAGCAGCAGCAGGGCGCCCACCAGAGTCTCGGGGTAGGGCGGGGCGGGCAGCTCTCGTGGTTGAGACGTGCGCGAGGCCTCGTCAGCTGCGTCTGCGGGTAGGGGACTGGCTGAGGCGTTTGTTCCCACGTGTGTCGCTTGAGGCACAGTTTTGGAAGCCGGAAATGTCCTGTGGAGCAACTTTATTCAGCAGAGTCGATGAGGGACAGGTTCCTGAAAAAGTGTCCGATTCTTGGCAGCCCAGAGACTGCAGGAGTGTGAACTCGCGCTTACAGTTTCAAATGAGCATTTAGAGAGCCCTGGGGGCTGCACACATGCTTGGCCAGCCAGTGCCATTGTGGAGGCTGGAGCCTCAGCAGGGGACTCCCTGCCCTCAAGGAGCTCGTATTCCCTGGAGAGGCAAGTGATAAGTGAGTGGTCATGTCACGTGTCAGGTAGCGGCGAGTGCTCTGAAGAAAAATGGACAGACCGGGGGCCTGGACACGAGGGCAGGAGGCTGCCGTGGTGTGAAGAGTGCAGAGGGAGGCCTCCCAGCTCGGGTGGAGGAGCAAGCCTCTGTGCAGAGGGAGCGGCAGTGCACGGGCCCCTGGTGCGTGTCTGCAGCCCAGCTGAGGACAAGCAAGAAGACCAAAGGAGCCACAGTGGTGGGAGGTGGGCCCCGAGGCGGCAGAGCCGGTCACGCGGGGCTTGGCAGCTTTTACTCTAAGGAAAGTGGGCGACCACTGCAGGGCGATGACCAGAGGACCACTAGAGGACCGACGTGTTGCTTCAGTTTTTTATTTTGAAAATTGTCAAATCCACAGAGAAGTTGCAATAACAATATGAAGAACAAATTTGTACCCTCTACCTAGATTTACTGGTTAATACTACACATACACTCCTTTTTTGCTGAACAAGCTAAGTTATTACAGACCTCATGGATTTTTTTTTTTTTTTTTTTTTTTTTTTGACAGGCAGAGTGGACAGTGAGAGGGAGACAGAGAGGAAGGTCTTCTTTTTTGCCGTTGGTTCACCCTCCAATGGCCGCCTTGGCCAGCGCACTGCGGCTGGCGCACCGCGCTGATCCGAAGCTAGGAGCCAGGTACTTCTCCTGGTCTCCCATGGGGTGCAGGGCCCAAGCACTTGGGCCATCCTCCACTGCACTCCCTGGCCACAGCAGAGAGCTGGCCTGGAAGAGGGGCAACCGGGACAGAATCCGGCGCCCCGACCGGGACTAGAACCCGGTGTGCTGGCACTGCAAGGCGGAGGATTAGCCTAGTGAGCCGCGACGCCGGCCATTACAGACCTCATGGATCTTTACCCTAAAACATTTCAGCGTCTATCTCCTAAGAACAAAGATATTCTCTTGTATATCAAATAGGAAATTTAACATTGATCAGATATTAGCATATAACAGCATACAGTCATTATCAGATTTCTCCAGTTGTCCCAGTAATTGCCTTTGTGACACTACTTTCTGCTCCAGGTTCCAATCCGAGGCCACTGATGACATTATGTCATGATGTGGTCTCTAGTATCCTTTCCTGTAGAAGAGTTCCTCCGGATTGCTTTGTCTTTTATTACACTGACATTAAGAATAGGCCGTTGCTATGTTGATTGCTCTCTCTCTCTCTGGGTTGTCTGATTGTTCCCTCAAGAATAGATTAAGGGCATGTGTTTTTGTAGGAACACTAAATATGTGATGACAGTTCCTTCTCAGTGCATCGTGGCAGAAGGCACGTGACGTGAGTCAGTCCGTTGTTGGTGATGTCACCTTCTGTCTCGTAGTTTCCATCAAAATTTTCCACTTGTAATAAGTGCCCTTTTCCTCTGTGAACATAGCTTTGAGTCTGTGTGAATTTCCCAGCAAACTGTTAGCCAATGGTCTCAGCAACATTTGATGACTCTTGCCTGCGGTTTATTATTTTTAAGCTGTTTGCAAGATTGACCTAGATTTTTAAAAGGGTTACTGTGTCTGAAACATGGAGAGAGTACTGTGAGAGAGTAGGGTGGAAGCCGGGAGACCAGTTAGAGGCTGTTGCAATCATCCGGGCAAGAGACGGCAGTGATGGCTTGACCCAGTAGGGTGCTGGAAGTAGAGATGCAGAAAAGCCAGATTGAAAATGAGATATGAGGGGCGGGGTGTTGTGGCATAGCAGGTGAAGCTGCCGCTTGGGACACCCACATCCCACAGCAGAGGGCCTGGTTTGAACCCTGCCTCTGCTTCTGATCCAGCTTCCTGCTAATGTGCCCAGGAAGCAGCAGGTGATGGCCCAAGTGCTTGGGTTCCTGCCACGCATGTGAGAGACCTGGATGGAGTTCCTGGCTCCTGGATTTGTCCTGACCTAGCTCTACTTATTGGGGGTAGAGGGTAGGCATTTGGGGAATGAAGCAGCAGATAGAAGATCTCTGTCTCTCCCTCCCTCTCTGTCACTCTGACTTTCAAATAAATAAGTAAATCTTAAAAGATGTGTGAGAAAGAGAGTAGTCAAATCAAAAGTTGTGACCTGGGGCTAGCGGGTAAAGCTGCCACTTGTTACACAGGCACCCCATATGGGCGCCAGTTTTAGTCCCGGCTGCTCCACTTCCAGTCCTGTTCCCTGCTAATGGTTTGTAGAAGATGGCCCAAATGTTCGGGCCCCTGCCACCTGTGTGAGAGACCTGAATTAAAAGCCCTGACACCTGGCTTTGGCCTGGCCCAACCCTGGCCATTGCAGCCATCTGGGGAGTAAACCAGGGAATAGAAGATCTCTCTGTGTCTCCCTCTCTCTGTCACTTTCTTTGAAATCAATCAATAAATCTTTGGGGGAAAAAGAAAGTTTGTGACCTAAACAACTGTAGAATGATGGAGCTGCCATTATGATGATGAGAGGAGCAGATTGGAGGAGAGAAACCAGGCATTTGACTTTGCGCGTGTCCCAGTCCTTTGTGAATCACAGAGCTCGTCTTTGATCATCTTCAGGTACAATAACCTTGAACTTGATGGTTCTCGGGACTCACTAATGACACACCCCTCTGCAGAGACAGCGACAGCCACAGGCAGGAAAGGGAGGGTTGTCTCTGGAGGGCCGCAGCATAGGGGAGTTCCGTCTTGGACCGCTTTCCTTGGTGGTCGGGGCTCGCGGCCTCAGGCTCACTGCACTGAAGCTTCTGGGCTCTGCGCAGCTTTCCTGACGTTCGGCATCCGTCACAGGTGCCGTCCTGGACGTGAGCCCCCGGAACCCCTGTCGGAAGCCTCGTGTGCTGGCACTGGGCACTGTCCCAGCCTCCCCTCTGGTGAAGGGGAGTCCCCTCTCTGGGGTGCAGCGCAGATGCTGCGGACAGATGATTTTGTGGTTCCTCACGTGAAGCTTGCCTACACAATGCCACTTGTGTTTGATTTTTTTTTTTAGATTAGAGGCTTTCTAGATTTGAGAGATTGAACCCAAAAAGATCCACTCGGACCAAATCACAGCCTAAAAACGCCTGCCAGCGTTCACCTAAAATGCGAGCATTGCTCATTTCAGAAGTCTAATGGTAAAAGAGAAGTTTCTCTAAGACCACTAAATGCGTTCAGAACTTCCTGAGTTAGACCCAGTTTAGAGATGATTGACTCCTCCTGTGACGGGGTCCCCACCGTGGCAGGGCTCCGTGCGTTCCTGCCTGGGCAGCGGGGGCCAGCAACATGAATGGAGCAGTGCCGCTGCCGGCGTCGTGGTGGCAGGAAGGCCCCGCCCGCCACAGCCTCTCTGCGGGATGTGCCACCGTCATGGTTTTCCTGAGTGGGGACTGATGCGTTGACAGAATTATAACATGAGAGGCGACTCCTCCACACCTAGCAGCAGTCCTGGGCTGGTCGTCTTCCCGCTTCCGTTGGGTGATGGGAATCACTTGGCCAGTGGGAGAAGCCGGTGCAGTGCCTCCGTGGGCTTGCTCCGCTGGATGCATGAAATACCTTGGCTTTGTGTATCTGTTTCTTTGGGCAGCAGTGCTCCAGTGTGGCCTGGGGGGTCCCTGAGGCCCTTGCAGGGGGTTGTAGAATCAAAACTCCTTTCATGATAATCCTTAGAGCGTCATTTGCCGTTCTCTCCCTGTCCCAGAGCCCTACGGCGTGACGTGTGACAGTGTCATCCTCGGATGCTACTGGAAAGTGTACTTGGCTGTCAGCTGGGGGGTTCAGACTTTTCAGTGGGCTATTTTTATAACTTTCTATGATTCTGTAACTGTTTCAAAATGTAAGGTTTTTAAACTTCTAATACAGCAAATATCACCACGTATGACTCACATGAACCAAAGCTCTCTGGGGCCTCAGTAATATTAGGACTGGAAGGGAATCCTGACGTGGGCACACAGGTGCGGGGTGTCTAAGTAGGGTAGCGAGTTTTCTGTGCTTGAGGAGCCCGGGAGGAGTTATTTAACCTTTGTCTGCCTTCTGCGCGGTGCTGCCCCCTTCACTCAGGAGCGAAGGCAAGTGAGCAGAGCTCTCTGCGCCCTGACAGGTCCCCTGAGAAGATGCCCCGTTGGTCTCGCTCCTCATCACTGGTGATTTCACCTGTGGTTCACGTGAAACAGTTTCCGAAACCATCAAGTTTTCAAATAAGCTTCGTAGAGCTGCAGACTGACAAGCAGGGGCTCAGGTTCAAGGAGGAGCAGCCGTCTAAGGGTGACGGCAGCTGCAGCCTGAGTTTGAGAAGGAGCGGGCCGAGTGTCTGCCGCTGCCTAGCTCGCCCGCTTCCTGCACTGGAGCGCCTGGGCCTGAGTCCCTGCTCTGCCCCCAGTTCCAGCTTCCTGCTGTTGTGCACCCGAGGAGGCGGCAAGCAGCTGGTGGCTCGAATACTTGAGTCCCTGCCATCCACATGGGAGACCTGGATGGAGACCTGGGCTCCTGGCTTCAGCCTCACTCAGCACCCAGCTGTGGAGGGCTTTCAGGGAGTGAGCCAGCGGATGGGACGTCTCTGTCTCTGTCTTCCTATCCCTATCTCCTCTGCCTTTAAAATGAATACAAACAGTCGTTGCTTCTTTTCCTAAGGTGTGTCAGGCTGGAAGCAGTTCTCAGTGCCCACGGGTCTCTGAGCGCCCGGCGTAGAGCCCGCCCCTTCCTCTGTGCAGGGCAGAGCAGCTGCGGGGCAGTAACACATTGCAAATCAGAAAAGAATGACGGGAGAGTCCAGGTTACTGCAGGGTCAAACCGTGCAAGTGCAACTGTCCGGCTGCTTGCCCGTGCTTTGTACATGTGCTGAGTAGCTGAGTATCTTTTTACTGGCCAGAGCTAGCTTTTTGTTTTGTTTTGTTTTGTTTTGTTTTAACCAAGAAAGGTTAAAATCCTTCCACACTGGGATGTGTCTTACAACTTCTTGCAGCCCGCTTTCTAGGCCGCCAGATACCCCAGTGAATTACAGAGGTTTTCTTTCCTTTAGAGACAAGCCGTAGGCCCGAGATGTGTTCTTCAGTGGTGTGGCGGAGGGGTCGCCTCATTAAACGGGGCGGGGACAGTGCTCTCTGCATCCCTGCTCCCCGTGGGAAGTCCTCTGTGCGGCGGCACATTGGGGCTGGCTTGCTGGGACACCTCGGGCACGCTCCTCCAGCCCTCCCTCCCCAGTGGCGTTTGTTCCGTCCAGAGAACAGCTGGGATTCACTGGCAGACTTAGCTGGGTGCTGACGCTGGCACAGCGGGGTGTGGACGAGAGAGCGGGGCAGGGCTGCTTGTCCTTTTCCATCTGCTGAAGTCCTTCAGAGGGTGGGGAGAGCATCCCAGAGTAGAACGGTCCACTGAGCAGCAAACGCCGGCTCCTGACTTGGTCAGCTCTTGCTCTGGCTTTGCAGAGTCTTCATGCCGGAAAGCTTGGAGGGGGATAATTGGCTCCTGACTTCATCTTTGCCCATTTCACCAACATACACAGTATTTTTTTCCTCCCTGAGCAAGGAGCTTTAGTAAAACTCCATTTCTTACCTTCCTCTTTGCCAGTCCTCCTGACAGCCCCAGAAATGATACGGTCGTGAGACTTGCTTGTCTGTATTGTGAAACACGTGACGCGTGGGCTGCAGCGCCGCACAACTTCTGGCGTGGGGGGTGGACTTTGCCAGAATACCATAAGTACTGAGCTGTGCCCTTGAAGTTAACTTTGCCCTGGCCCGCTGTGGGCTGTCCTGTAAGCTCCCGTTTGAAGTGAGGACCGCTGCCCCCACGTGGGGAGTCTCAGCTCCGGCGAGGCGGGGACTGCCGTGCTGTTTCCCACGCCCCTGTAGAGTGCTGCAGGCCGCGTGGCGCCGTGGCCGCTGATCGTCCCGCAGTGTTTGTAAGCATCCAGACATGCGTGTTAACATTCCAATGCTTCCTCTTCTCTCCTGTTCCTTCCTCCCCTCCCAATCCATAGGGTGATATCCACGAGGATTTTTGCAGCGTGTGCAGAAAAAGCGGCCAGTTGCTGATGTGTGACACGTGTTCCCGTGTGTATCACTTGGACTGTTTAGACCCTCCTCTGAAGACAATTCCCAAGGGCATGTGGATCTGTCCCAGATGTCAGGACCAGGTAGGTAGGTGGGTCCCATGGGTGGGCGCGGAGGATGAGAACGGCTGTCGTGGGGAGAGTCCTGTCCCGCTTCTGTCATTCAGGCCCCTTCCTCCCTCCTGTCCCACACCGCCACCCTCCGTGCTCCTGGGCCAGCAGTGGCTAACACAGCTTCCTTTGCCTGGGAGGTTTTCTGTCGTGTTGCCCTGCCTCTCTCTATTTGAAATGCTTACCTTTCACTGTGAAAGGCAGGATGGCCACTTTGTGGGGACAGGTTAACTGCTGCTTAGGACCCACATCCCATATCAGAGTGCCGGGCTCGAGTCCTGTCTCAGCTCCTTACCCCAGCTTCCCGCTAAGGCGCGCCCTGGGAGGCAGCAGCTGATGGCTCAAGTGCTCACGTCCCTGATCCTCACGTGGGAGACCTGGTTGAGTTCACAGCTCCTGGCTTAGGCCTGGCCCAGGCCTGGCCCAGCTCTGGCTGTTGTGGTCATTTGGGGAGTAGGCCAGCAGATCTGAGACCTCTGTCTCTCCATCTCTGTATCAGGTTCTCCGTGTCTCTCTACCTTTCAAATAAATAAAATGTAAAAAATAAAAAGTCCTAAGCCTTCCCATTCTCCCTCATTCACTAAGAATAATCAAAATCCATTCTATAATTGTGAAACTCTTCTTTGGGAATAAAATCCTTAAAGGGCAGTAGCCGACTGACTCGATGCTGTTCCTCACTTTGGAGCTCTGACTGAAGTGCTATCTGGGGACTGCGTGGACTTCGTAGTTGGCCTGGCTTCCTAGGTTTGGTTTCTGGTCCCCTTTTTCTCAACTACCCGTGTGTCTTTATCCCTTTAAGATATGCCTTTATTATAATGTGTCTCGAGCTTTTGGGGGGATAGGCAAAGAGTAAATAGTAAATAAGCCCAGTAGCGCAGCAGGCGTGGGGTCCTGCTCAGCTGTGTGGCATCCCGATCGGAGAACCCTGCTTTCGTCCTCGACCCTGGCCCCATCCCAGCGTCTCCCGGTGCGGTGACTAGCTCCCCCTCTTCCTCCTGGTGCTGGGGGCCGCCTGGTGATTTCCCTTCAGTGCTGGGAACTGAGCCTTCATCCCCTTCCTCCAGGTGTCTGAGAGGCACGGGAAGCCGGCCCCGTGTCAGAGCAAGGGCAGAGCTCCTGCGTCCCAGCTGCCGCCAGCCGCCGACCTGGGCTGGGGGTTGTGGGGCTGGGACAGGAGGGGGGTGCTCAGCCAGGTCCCAGGCCGACCTGGAACCTTTGCGGTCCTGCTGCCGGAAACCCTCCCGGACCAGGCCTGCCGGTTGCCACAGACACCGCAGCTTGCTGTTGCACGGAAGAGCGTGCCGTGGCTCCCCCCAGGTAAACTCGGAACGTCTTTTCAGATGCTGAAGAAGGAAGAGGCGATTCCGTGGCCTGGAACTTTAGCCATCGTTCACTCCTACATCGCCTACAAAGCAGGTAGAGTCCCCGCCCTCGCTGCAGGGAATCCCTGGGAAGCGGCCGTCCTGTTTCCTGAGGGACTCTGAAGTTAGACGTGGAGGAGCGTGTGGAGCGTTTCCTGGGGAGGACGGAGGAGACGTGGAATCCTACTGGTGGGACGGCCGGTGGGCGGTGCGTGCCTGGCTGCGGGGCTCCGCCAGCTTGGGGGAACACACCGAGCAGGCTCGGCTCGGCACAGGGCCTTTGTTGTTAAAAACTCTGTCTTCTTCTTCAGCGAAAGAGGAAGAGAAACAGAAGCTACTTAAGTGGAGCTCAGACTTGAAGCAGGAGCGAGAGCAGCTGGAGCAGAAGGTGAAGCAGCTCAGCACCTCCATCAGCGTAAGTGATGCTCGCCTGGCGGCTGGCCCGCCCTGACCCCGACCCCTGACCCTGACCCCGACCCCGACCCCTGACCCGGGACAGGCGGTCTCCTTCCAGTCCGCTGACACCGTGGGGACGTAGAGCCTTTCCTGATGCTGGCCGACCCCTGCCGGGTCCCCTCCCAGGGCTGACTCTTCCCCACTCCCTTCCCCCACACCAGGCTGAGCCCTGGAAGTCGGTGCTGCCCGGCTGCCCCCCGTCACGGGGGCAGGTTTTATGTTGCTCGGACCAGCCCTGGTGGGAGTGAGGGAGCCTCGGCCCTCACAGCCTGGGACTGTCTCACCCCTCTGCCTTCTCCGCACTGCACGCCCCCACCCCCACCCCTGGAACAGGAGCCGGCAGGTGCAGGAGGCTGAGGGCAGAGGACTAGTCAGGACGGAGCGGAGGGGCCGCTGTAGAACCTCCTGCGTGTCACCAGTCCGCCTCGGGCCCTGCCTCTCAGTTCTCACTGACGAATGGGCCTCCGCGGGCCCTCACAGAACCCAGAACGCACTGGGTTTTCTACCTGCAGAGCCCAGTCCACCCCTGGGGTGGCGCGCACACACGCAGGCCTGCCCCCTGCCCGGGCAACTGCAGGGACCTTACTCCCGGACTCCACGCAGTGCCGCTTTGGCCTTCGTGGGGCTGGCTCCCGGCCCCTCCCACGCGCCCCTCCTCGCCCCAGTCCTGCGAGCTCAGCGCGCGCCCTGGCTTTGCAGAAATGCGTGGAGATGAAGAACACCATCCTGGCCCGACAGAAGGAGATGCACAGCTCCCTGGAGAAGGTCAAGCAGCTGATCCGCCTCATCCACGGCATCGACCTCTCCAAACCCGCGGACTCTGAGGCCGCCGCGGGGGCCATCTCCAACGGCCCGGACTGCACCCCCCCTGCCGCCGCCGCCGCCGCCGCCTCCACGCCGGCCCCCTCCCCCTCCTCCCAGAGCTGCACAGCGAACTGTAACCCGGGGGAAGAGACGAAATAACAGCACCTCTGGGCAGAGCCGCGGGGCCCGGCGGGGAGGAGAGCAGAACACTGAAGACCGCAGCTAAGCCAAGCCGGATTTCTTCTGGAAAGTGCAGAATTCTTTTGGTTCTTTGGTTCCAGAGAGAGAGAAGATGCGTGTGCCAGGTGGCACCGGAGTTTGCCAATTGACCTTCTCGTCCTGTGTGTACATGCAAAGACTGGACCGTGTTCCATGAGATAGTGCCAGCTGGAGGTGCCCTGCCAGCACCATGCCAAGTGAAATAATATATTTACTCTCTCTATTATACACCAGTGTGTGCCTGCAGCAGCCTCCACAGCCACCGTGGGTTTGTTTCTGTTTTGTTGGGTGGGGAGCAGGGGCGGGCGGAGGGAGGAGAGCAGGTTTCAGATCCTTGTTTGCCGAGCCGTTGGTCGGGGTAGAGAAGACGAGTCCAAAGAGTGTGTGGGCTTTCCTGTTTCCAGACTTACATGATAAAGCCAAAAAAGGAAATCGGCGGAGAACCAACCCCAGTGCCCAGGAGTGGGAAGGGGAGGACTGGGAGGGAGCAAGGGGCGGGGCCCTGTGTCACATAAGCAGTATTTACGATGCCGGGCCGTGGCGGGGCGGCCCAGCGCCAGGAGAGGTGGACGCCGGCCGCCTCCCCGCGCTCCGCTCCCTGCCGGCGTCCCCGCCACCCCCTCCCTCCTTGCCTGGTGAATCGCGCATCTCCGTGGTGATCCGTGGTCTCTCCCGCGGCCGGCCCACCGCCGGGGAGAAGGGCCCGTGTGTCCAGGAAGCCAAGCAGGTGGATCAGTGATTTTACTTGAAAACAAGCTCCATCCCTTTTCTATATTTATAAGAAGAGAAGCTTTGAGCGAAGCAGCACGCGACCCAGGTGTGTGCATTGAATGGGGACATCGCTTTTCTTTTCTTTTTGTTTTGTTTTCGTTTTTGTTTTGTTCTGTTTTTTTTTTTTCTTCCTCTTCCTCTTCTTTAAAGAAGGGTTTATTTTGTTGTTTACTTTTTGGTAACAAAAACTAAACTAAGGAATAGAGAAGCTGTTTCAGGCTGACAGTAAGGGTAGCCGAGACCGTGCATGGTAGAGTAGGCGTCTTAGTGCCAGTGAGGTCCAGTGAGTCTTCGTGAGTCCTGTGTCAGCGTCGGCCACTGTTTTTTTATGCAAGGGCAAAAATCTTTGTATCTGGGGAAAAAAAAAAACAACTTTTTTTTAAATTAAAAAGGAAAATAAAAGATATTGAGGTCTTCCTAGTGTTACTTAAATTAAGATCAAGGTAAGAAAACATTGTAAAAAAAAACTACAAAAGTGCTATTTGTTTCCTAAAAACAGTGATTTCTATTAAAAAGGTGTCAGAACTGGAGCAATGCCGTGTAGTTATAATTTTTTAGCACAGAACCTGCTGATCATGGTGACGTTTTGCTGTGTCTCTGTCTCTGGACCGGTGGGCCAGTCTCCAGGAAGGGCAGGGCGGGGCCCCCTGTCTTCTCCCCCCTCCTCTTGCTGTGCAGGGATCTTGTCTCGAGGCTGGGAAGGCCACACGGGGTATGCACGGCATCAGGGCCCTGCCCCGCGGCCTCAGATGTTGCTAGAGTGAAAGGCTGGTGCCTTGATGAGGAAGACCCCTCCCTTGGTGCTGCTCTGTCTTCAGCCACCAGCATTATGAGCGCCGAGGGGACACCACTGAGGGCCACGGCTGGCGAAGCTCCTGGGGCCTGTGCGCCCTGCTCTGGGTGGGCAGGCGAGGTGGGGGCCAGGGCTGGGGGTGCTTAGAAGGATCGAAGGAGTGAGATGTCTTGAGGGGACCTCGTGTCTCTGCAGTCTGCCTTGCCTTTGAAGAGGGGTCTGAAGCTCGCTTGCTTGCTCTGCCTGCCGGCTCCGGGCACCAGAGATGGAATGTCCTCTGCTCGGGCCGCCCACAGGCTTCCTGGGGGAGAATCAGGGTGCTTGTCTTGGCGTGGCCAGGGGTGGCCTGTCCTTGAGGAAGCCAGGGACCTGAGAGGCTCAGATCATCTCCCCCATCCGCCTTGGGGCGGGGATGCGTGCCCTGGCCCCCCGGTGATGGGCCGCGGAGGACATCCCGTTAGCCTCTCCTCCACCGGGTTAGGTCCAGGGACACAGAGATGAGCCCTGAAAGCGGATGAACCCAGGGAGAGCTGCTGCTTAGAGCAAAATGAATCTCACCCACACCAGCCACCTCCCATGCCTCTTCCCGCGGGCCAGCACAGGAGGTGGAGTCTGGCTGCATGCGCCCCATAGCTGGGCCCCGGCTGCCAGGGACCAGAGCGGAGAGCCTGGTGCCGCGCCTAGCCAGGAGCCTGGGAGGTGCCTGGACTAGTTGTAGGAGCAGTTGGCAAGGTTCGGAGGCAGCCACGGGCCGCACATCCTGTCTGGGAGCGCTCCCCTTGGACTTGGCTGTGCCCATAGGCTGGGGGCTGCTGCACAATGCCTGTCTCTTCTCAGGAGCAGGTGGGAAGCCGTGACACCAGGTGGGGTCACCTGCTGCTGGGACCTCACCTGAAGTTGTGTGAGGTGTGGTTTCTCCCCTGAAGTTCAGGTTCAGCCTTTTTTTGTTGCTTCAGCTAGTGTGGATTGCAAGGGCAGCCCCGCCCCCAAACCTACATGCTGGACTCAGATTCCAAAACACTGCTCCCCGCTCCGTGCTGGCCAGTTGGTCTCCTTGACCTCCACTGTCCAGTGGGTGCCTGTGAGCACTGCCCCCGCTGCTCCCTCCTTCCCTCCTGCTAGCTCTCCCCCAGCCTGGAGCTGAGCGGCTGAGCCGAGGCCCGCTGTTGGCAGTCCCCATCAGGCAGGCCTTGCCGCTGCCACCATCCCTGCCTTGCACATTCCTGAGCCTGCAGGTCATTCTGTCTTGCTTGGTGCCTGCTGGGTCTTGTCTCACCTCCGCTGAGCTCATCACCTCTGAGATCTGCCCTTCCTTGCTAGGCCTTGGTAGTGAGCCTGCTGCTTGCACCTGTCTTGGAGTTGCTAGCTGGGGGTAGTCCCCGCGGGGGTGTGAAGTCAGTCTCCACGCAGCCTGGGCCACCTCCAGCTGGTGCTGTGAGTGCCAGCTCTCTGTCCCTGCTGCTGCTTGGCTCAGCCCCAACAGGCGTCGTGAAGAGGTGTGCACTTAGCGCAGCTCCTCCCAAGGGTGACCGCGTGTCCAGCTCACTTCCAGCCGCCTCTGGTACTCACCTCTGGAGAGGCCATCAGAGCCTCCCTAGGCCTCAGGCCCCCTCCCCCAGCTCTCGCGCCCCCTGCACTCCTGTTGGGGAATACGATCCTTCTTGCTGATCCAAAGGGCTGAACTGCTGAGACTTGGGGCTGAGGCTCTTATGGAAGTAGGACGGATGGTGGCCCAGGGACATTTTTCAGGCCTGAGTTCTCCAGACTCCAGGGCTTGATTGTATAAATGACTGTGGACTCGCCCGTTCCCCTTGGCCGGAGACAGGAGTCTTATTCTCACCCTGCCTGTCCACCCCAAGAGCAGTGTGGGTGCCCCCCGGGGGGACTTTCTGGCCCTGCCACTGGAGTGGAGGGCAGGGAGCTGGGTGACCTCCCCAGAGCCAGGCTGGGAACTCTAAAGAGGGGAAGGCAGGGCTCCAAATCCCACGACCCCAGCTGGGCTCTTCCCCCGCAGAGGGCTCCACCGCAGCCTGCAGCAGCCTTTGGGCCCTGCCTCCCCACCCCCCACCCCGGGTGTCCTGGGCCCTCAGCTGGCGGGGCGGGGCGGGGCGGGGCGGGCGGAGCCAGAGGAGAGCCAGCCAGACCCCAGTCCTGTCTGTCGTCTGTGCCCTCTGTGAATTCAGTCTTGGTAGAACTTGTATTTGGAGTTTCGTGCTTCAAAGTTTTTGTTTTTGTTTGTTTGGTTTTTGTTTTCAGGGGGTGGGGGGGATACAGAGCAGCTGATCAATTTGTATTTATTTATTTTAACATTTTACTAAATAAAGCCAAATAAAGTCTCTGAGCCTCATGGTGTTGGGTCTGGGGCAGGGGAGGGTGGTGGGCAAGACGCACTCGGGCCAGGGCCCCTCCCCGCTCACTGCCGCCCTCCTGCCCCACGACCAGGCGGAAAAGCACGTTTAAAAAAAAACCTTTTAATGACGAAAACTGGACGTACAATTGAGGAAGAGGAGGAGGAGGGGTCCCGCCGTAGGTTAGCAGCAAGCAGAGGACCCCAGGACCCAGCCCAAAGAGACCTTAAATAATTTAAATAGCATGAGGGCAGGCAGGAGGGTGGGCACAGGAAGGCTGCTCCAGTGTCTGCAGGGAGAGCGGGGGGAGCCGAGGCCAGGGCGCAGCCCCCAGGCTCAGGCCGGGCTCCGCGGCTGCTGCAGGGCGGTGAGGTACTTCAGGGCGGCAGCCCCGTAACGGCGAGACAAGTCCTGGTGGAACTCCTCCTTGAGGGCCTGGAGGCAGGAGCGGTAGGTGGGGCTGGAGCGGAATCGGGAGAGGTCGAGGCTCGGAGCGTGCGGCAGGTGGATGATGAAGGCCTGGGGCAGCACCAGGAGCTCGTGTTCCTGTAGGGGGTGGACGGAGGGCATGGCGCGGCCAGGGCAGGAGGGCGGGCGACCTGCAGGAGCGCCACCCGAGCACGAGGCACCCTCCTCACCTGTGCGTCTAGCTCCACAACGTGGGCCACCTTGTTCCAACCGAAGCCCACAAAGCGAGGGTCGTACCGGGGACAGTCACGCGGCACCACCACGTAGGGCTCGTAGTCGGCTGCCCACTGCACGCGGTACGGCACCCGGGCCTCCCGCCAGCGGGCATAGTCTGTGGGCGCATGACCCTGCGGCCACTCGTGGTACCTGTGCAGCACGAGCGGGAGGGAGCCAAGCTGAGGCTTAAGGGCTGGGGGCGGCAGGGGGCGGCAGGGGGCCGGGGGCCGGGGTAGGGGCCCGCAAGGCCTCTCCTACCTGAAGGTGTGGAGGGAACCCGCGTCCAGCAAAGCCAGCAGCTCCGCCTTGGAAGTGGGGAAGCTGAAGCGGTAGTGCAGCGTCTCGAACGCGGGCACCACCAGGGCCGCCTTCCGCCGGCCACCCAGCTCCAGCTGCTCGATGGAGGCCCTGAGGAGCACACCACCCATGGGAGTGGGGCCCCTGCCTCGGGGCTGGGGTCGGGGCCCAGGGACCTTGCCTTTGGAGGGCTAGCTTTCCTGGAAGCCACAAGTGGGCGCAAGGCAAGGGGAGCTGCTGGTCCCAGGCTCCCCTCGTCTGTGTCCCAGCCCAGAGAAGCAGGCTTCTAGCACCCCACCGCCCAGGGGGCACTGAGCCCCGGGAAGGAGCAGGGGCGTCCTGGCCCCGCCCCCGCCCCCACGCAGGCCCACCTGAGGTAGTCGTAGAGAGAGTAGGCAGGCAGGAAGTCAATGTCGCTGAGGAAGACGTAAGGCGTCAGGGCCTGGGCCAAGGCTACGTTGCGGAGCTGGTTGACAGGGTAGAGGGGACCCTCGCGGTACACCACGTGGTAGGCCACGTCCTGCCGGGCCGAGAGCACCGGCGAGGCCTCGACGAAGCGCAGGAACTGCTGGGCCTCTGCGTCTGTCAGGTACAAGGCCAGGCTCATGGGGCCCGGCCAGTGCCTGCACAGCACTTCCAGCATCTGCAGCCTGGGGTGAGGGCGGTGGTCAGGAGCCGGGGAGGGCGGGAGGACCTCCCCAGAGTTAGCCGCTGCTGGCCCCCACCAGCTGACAGCCTGGCCTGATTTAATCTTCCCAGCCTGCCCCCCCACCCACCCATTTGACAGATGGGAAAACTAAGGGCCCAGACGTGTTAGGATTCCTGCAGGGCAGTGTCAGGCACCTGCACCATGGCCAACGCCTCCCACTTCTGGAATTCCTCAAAGGACAGGCAGCTCACTACCACCGCACCCGGCTACCCTAGCAAACTCGCCTCTCAGAAGCATCCAGACCCAGCCTGCACCGTGCTGGCCGAGGCTGCCCTCAGCACCCTCACCGGTCCATGGAGAGCTGGGCTACCAGGGTGACATCATGAGGCCGGGGAGGCGGTGGCTTGTGGGGCAGGAAGGTCAGGTGCACACGGTGCACGGTGAGCCGCTGCTGGCGGAACTCAAAGCAGGCATCTTCCTCGTCGAGCTGCGCCAGGGCCTGCTGCAGCTGAGGGGGGTGGGGGGTCAGGGGATAGGGGCCGGGGCCGAGCAGCCCCCAGGCAGGGGGACGTGGCTCCCGCTCACCTGCTCAGCCCCGGCTGGGGGCTGGCTGGGACATCCGAAGAGCTCTCTCCGCAGGAGGTTGCCATCGTACTCCAGGAAGGTCAAGTGGAAGTTGCGGAAGAATTCCGCGTGCTTGTTCTTCACCCTCAGCTTCTTCGGCGAGTTCCAGTGGATCACCTGGGGCCCAGGAGGGTGTCAGTAGGGGGGGTGGGAGCGTGGAGCAGGGTCCCCCGGCCTTGGCCCAGCCCCAGCCCTCAGCCCCTCGGCTGCTCGCTCGCCTTGAGGTCCGAGGCCTCCGAGTAGCAGCGCTCGGCCAGCGTGTGGTCCGACAGCTGCACATTCCAGACGCAGGGTAGCGGCTGCACCAGCCCTGGGTGCTCCTTGATGACGGCGTTGAAGATGTCCTGGGCAGAGACACCCGTCCTGCCTCAGCCCCCAGCCGCTGCCCGCCCCCACCCCACCCCCCGCTCCAGCCAAGGATTCCCCGCACCTGGTCAGCCAGTGAGGTGGCGGGCAGGGTCAGGAGCTCCCGCCTAGCCGTCAGCTTCCACATCTGCTCCCAGCCGGCCTGCTGCAGCCGGCCCAGCCACAGCAGGATCACACCTGCCAATGGGGGGGAGGGGTCACGCCCACCTGGGACCACCAGCCCCAGGCAGCCAGGGCGGCTTTCCAATGCTTACTTTTTATGGACTTGCTGGGACAGTCACAGGTTGCAGGACCACGTTTCGGTCAACGATGGACCAACGTGTGTGACGGTGGTCCCATAAGATTATAGTGGGACTGCAAATTCCTCTCACTACGCTTTCTGGGTACAGATACTCAGAGGCCATTATGCCACACTGGCCTGCAGCACCAGCAGTCTGCCAGCAGCAACAGGCCTGGGTCTGGGGGAGGCTGCACCCAGCAGGGCTGGGACCTCCTTGCTACCAAGGGCCATACAAAACGATCAACTTAAAAATTAGCCGAAGGGCCAGCGCTGTGGCACAGCAGGTAAAGCCGCCACCTGCAGCACTGGCATCCCATATGGGCCCCAGTTCGAGTCCCGGCTGCTCCACTTCCGATCCAGCTCTCTGCTGTGGCCGGGGAAAGCAGTGGAGGATGGCCCAAGTGCTTGGGCCCTGCACCTGCATGGGAGACCTGGAAAAAGTTTCTGGCTCCTGGCTTCAGATTGGCACAGCTCCAACCATTGCGGCCAACTGGAGGAGTGAACCAACAGATGGAAGACCCCTCTCTCTCTCTGCCTCTCCTTCTCTCTGTGTAACTCTTTCAAATAAATAAATAAATCCTTTAAAAAAAATTAGCCTGCTATAGAGCTATGGAACTTCAAGTCCCTGGCAGGGCCTTGGTGCTGCTGGCACAGCATGGCCTCGCCTGATGCACATTCTCAGGCTGTAGCAACACAGGACTGTACTTCCTGACGGTTCGGCTGTGACCATGAACTTCCTCTGTCACAGCCCAATGCTCAGGTGCAGCCATCTCCTCACTCAGTGACCCCAGGTCAATGAAAGTCATCCCCATTTAGTGGATGAGAAAACCGAGGCTCGAGTCACCCAGTGCGTACGATAGTGCTTCAGCATGTTTGTGGGAAACGGAATTAAAAGGTACGCTTAGGGGCAGCACTGTGCGCAGCTGGTTAAGCCGCCGCCTGCAATGCCGGCATCCCATACTGGAGCGCTGGTTCCGGTCCCGGCTGCTCTAATTCCGCTCCAGCTCTAATGAAGACAGAGAATCCCTGGCCCCCGGCTTCTACCTGGCCATGGGCTGGCTGTTGGGGCCATTTGGGGAGTAAACCAGTGATGGGAGATGTGTGTGTGTGAGTGTGAGAGAGAGGGAATCACCTATCCTCTCGTTCTCTCCCCCAGGGCCTATAATGGTTGGAGCTGGGCCAAGCCAAAGCCAGGAGTCAGGAACTCCATCTGGGTCTCCCGCATGGGCGGCAGGGAGCCAGCTACTTGGGCCAACATTTACTGCCTCTCGGGGCTCCCGTTAGCAGGAAGCTGGAGTCAGGAGTGGAGCCGGGACTTGAACCCAGGCACTCGGGTATGAGATGCACCTGCCCCAGGTGGCATCTAAACTACTGGGCCATTCGCCCAGCCCAGGGCACTTCTCCTCTGAGTCCACCTTCTATGGCCTTTTGAAGTCTCCTCGTTCAGCCAGGACTGAGCTGTCGTCCTCCACACAGGGTCCTTCCCGTAGGACTCCCTCGTGTTTGGTGCCAGCGCCCTGACCGGCAGCCCACCCCGCCTGCCCTCGCCTGCCGCTGCCCCCACCTGTGTTAAATCCCCGGCCCAAGGCAGGCCAGGGCCTGTGGTTCTTCCAGAGGTTCCCCAGGTACCAGTCGCTCTGGTTCTCCACGAGCCCGATGAGCTGCTTGTCTGCGAGGAGTGGGCAGGAGGCAGCTGCCTGAGGCCACCCAGGACCTGGGCTGGGGGCCGGGGGGGGCGGTGCGGGGGACTGGCTAGGGCAAGGTCCCAGGTCTCTCACCAGAAAAGTGAGCAAAAAGCGCCCAGAGCTCCGCGATGTCAGAGGCGAAGGTGACGTCGGTGTCCAGGACAATGACGCGGGCCAGGTCCGGGGGCAGCACGGCGGGCAGCACCAGTTTCATCAGCCCATAGAGACCAGAGTAGTGCTTGTTGGGGATCCAGGAGACCTGGGGCTGTGAGTGAGGAAGGCGTGATGGGTCCAGGCCCCTCCTGGCCCAGCCCAGCACGCCGCGGGGGTGGAAGGGGAGGGCTCCTGCCTTCAGCGCCTCGGCGTCATAGAAGCTGACCCGGAGGGCAGGCACCAGCCACGT